CCAGCTTCACTCTCATCAAAATTGCCGACACTTTTTTCTGGACAAATTATTATTCTGAGTGACGATGAAGATGATGTTGTACGCTCAATCAAAGAAGAGTGTAAACAATCTTCCAATATCAAGGATTATGAAGACTCTATAGCCATGAAGGATGTGCAACCTTCTGGACAAAACAATTCAAATGAAGAGCCTCCAAATCAGATTGGCATACATAAAACAAATAATGCCACCCCAGATATACCTAACAACGCTGCCGTTCATGAACCTATATTACCAGAAGTGAAGCGAGAATTCGTACGCTCATGTACGGAGAATGTAGTTGAAATCTTTGGAGGAACTGATGATGTCATTCTTGAGAGTGTCAAAGAAATAAATCCTTTGCTATATTCAAGACTTAATGGTAAGAAAACGAATAAAATGCTTTACGATGGAGATAGTATTGACTTGCTAAGTGATAATGAGGATGACGATCCTAATATTGCGCACAATGTAGAAACGTTCGGTGAACTATTGCCGGCAGCAGAATACAACAAACATTCTGAAAAGGACGATCAAACAAAAAATTTAGCTGTGGAAAATGAGCTAATGCAAAACGCTAGTTTAAAAAAAAGTCCTAATGTTTTTGATAATTCACTTAACAGCTCTAATGACGATGAGCAAAGGAATTGTATCATTGAGCACGCAGATATTCCGGAAGATAATCGTAACCTTGAGCCTTCAACGGTAAATTCTGCAAAAGCTCCAGATGAATTGGCTGAGTTCGTCGATATGGATGATGATATGTTGTTTTCACAAATTTTATTAAACGACATTAAGTCCGAAATGATGGCTGATAATAATGAAGCTGAGTTTGCTGATGAAGACCACCCCTATGATGTGATTAGAAAACGAAGTCAAGAAAACCTAATAGACACCCATATTAAAAAAGAGATAGTTGATAACGAACAGACGAACTCAGCTGCGATTCCTGTAGAACAAAAACTAAAAGGTCCTGAGATAGGAAATGATGTATGGATTACAATAGAAGATGACGATGAATATTATGATGAAGAGTTCGAGCATAAGGTATCTGACTGGAGCTCTAAATTGCTATCACAATCGATGAATATGTCACAGGTATGCAGACTTTCAGACGATGCATTTAATATTAAATTTTTTCATTAAAAAAATTGTGTTAACCAGAAAACTCATTTGAAGTTCATCTAAAAAAGTAGTATCTTTAATAACTGAAATTAAAAACCGGCTATCATAGTACGTAATAGTGCAGATTTCTAACGTATAGCAAAATTAAATCGTATTATATGATAACGATTGACTTCAGTTTCTCACCGCTGAAGTCTGAACTTTAATTGAATTGTTGGTTTTTTAAAACACCTTTTTTTAGGTCTTCGAATTTCAAAATGATAAAGCAGAAAATTTAGATGATAACGACGAAAATGCCGAAGGCAAAGAGGATCAGGGTTTAGATTGTGCCAGCGAAGATATTGATGATTTTTTCAACGAGGCTCTTGTGGATGACGTAATTGCGACATTAGCTCAAAAAACTGGCCAAACTAAAAGCGATTCAAAGTCGCCACCATTAGAGCAGGAAATGTCAAAAGACAGTTGCGAATACGATAGAAGTAAAGAGCTTGTACACCAAAGAGATAAAATTAAATCAATTGAGGACTACAAGGAAGCACCAGTGGAGATAAAGACAACTCGTGAATTAAACGATGAACCTGAAGGTTGTGCTATGCATAACTTTTATAAAATATTCTTTATTAATAGCTAAAAAATTCCATTTTAGATCTAAAAGCGTCCACTAGTAGTAAGCCAACGGTCGCTGATAGCAAAAAAACTGATACTTCTAAAGAAAAGATAAAGGTGAGTAAAAAGGAGGTGATCAAACCAGTAAAACGCTTGCATCACCCACCATCTGTAATCGATGCCCCAAATTTACCTAAGCATAAGGGAAAACACAGAGGAGTTTCTGCAGAATCGCGTTCGATTGCATCATCCACAAAAGAGGTTCGCACAAAAGCCGCAGCCTTCAGTGGTCAACTGAAAGAAGAACGTTATATGGATGAACTAAAAAGGAAGTGGCTTGGGAAGCCAGTAGATGAGAGACGTAGGGAGATCGAGAAAAAACGTCTGATTAGGGAGTCTCGCAAAGAGCGCTTAAAAGAACTTGCTGACAAGCAATCAGCAGACACTTCAAAAGAATTGCTAAAACGCAAACATGCATCTGAGACTGAAGTTGTTGAAAAGAAAAAAGCCAAGGTTAAAATCACTACAATGAATCGAGGTGCTCTTCTAGCTGAGGATATCGAAGCCAGTAAGAAGAATGTTGAACTGTACAGAATACCTAAAATAAAGAGATGTTCATCAGAAACGACAAAGCCACACAAAGAGAGCTCAATAAGTGCTACTGTAACAACGCCTAAATCTAATCGACCCAAAGCTGTGGATGCATTTGCTCAGGAGATGAGCAAATTAGATAAAATTATTTCCCGTCGTATATCTAGTAGTAGTAACAGGAAAACATCGAGATCGTCCTCGACCGAAGAAAACAGAAATGGAAGTCTACCAACAGAAGCGAAGCCTTGTAATGCACCTGCGCGTAAAACTAACAAAATTACATTTGCTTCTATGCAAAAAAATTTTTCCGAAACAAAAAAAAAATCAAGAGTTATTGCAAAGATTTGCTAGTCACCGTTCCTGCCTAACAAATGTGATACGACGCGATGCCGACAAGGAACGACTGAAGAAACGTGTGCGCTTTAATGAGACACCAATTGTATACTACATCGAACGCGTAAGCGGCGCCAATAAGCGAGTTGATCGAAAAGATATATTGCCTAGTCCAACTTGTCAAGATCGTGCGCATATGGTGCGTATGGCGTACGCTATGGTTGATAAGACTGCACAAATAATATCTCAAATATTGGGCTGGAGCAATGAATGGCTCGTAAATCGTAATGCGCAAGTAGACGCTGCAAGTGATATTTTATTGCCGATGCCAAATCAATTTACTACGTTTAATCATTATAAGAGGTACGTAATTTAAGCTACCCACTTTTTGATTTATGTCGGTTTAACGACATAATGCGTTTCTATTTTTTTTTTAGCATAATTATACCGTTAATGAAATTAGAGTTTATGAGTGTACTTGAGCGTGAAAAAAGTCGATGTAAAAGTAAGACGTTTATTGTCTCCGCCGAGCAAGTAACTCCATATTTGGATCGTTTCATAATAATAGGGCGCTGTGCCGGCACAAACAGCTCTGAATCCAAAAGTGAACTCGTAATTTTGGAATGGGGAAAGTTTACAACATTCGCCTATTTGTCTTCAAAGCGATTTGGTATGGACAAAGAAAAAATATTTTAATTTTCTTATTAACAATATTCATACAATTAGGGTTTAATTACACTACCATTGTGTATGAAGTGCTTGCAAAGGATTTGTCTTTAGAAGAGCTGCGTGCCAACTCCAATAATCCAATTAAAGTCCGTCCAATGATAGATGTTGTACGAGTAGAATTTGGCGCCTTTAATGCGGTATACCAATTGGAGCAATCCCCACTGCTCGCGCAGATACTCGACCCAATGCAGTTATGCAAACGCAAACCGTTTACGCAATGCAACATTCAATATAACGGCTGTGATGATTTAAATGCTCGTCAAAAGGAGGTATTGATCCGTACATATAGGCGAGCTATCGAGCCGACGCCAAACATAACATTAATTCAAGGCCCGCCTGGTACGGGTAAATCTTGTGTGATTGCAAATTTGGTACACCAGTTGTTATATGGGAACGAGATTCGCATTCTCGATCAGAAAGTATTAATATGTGCACAAAGCAATGCAGCCGTTGACGTTATAGCTGAAAAATTGTTTAATATGAGTCAAAAAAAAGTTGCCAGATGTGCAGTTTCGATTGATTCGTTTTGGCTTGATGGAACGCATCAGCCCCAAGGTTCGACATGCAACTTTACCAAAGATCATTGAACGTAATCAGATAAGGAAACTTAAAATGGCATGCACAAATCTTCAAATTGATGATAAAATCGACATAAAGGAGTACTTACGGAATGAAATCATTCAAATCGAAGCTGATATCGAACATATGAAACAGAAAAATGTGAAAGGAACGGCGCAAGAAGAAGAGTTGATTGCAAAAGTACGACAAGTCCAATTAATGCGGAATATAGTGAACGGAGTTTTGCGGCCAGAAGATGAGCGTAGTCTGTACAATTGGCACCTGAAAAATGCTAATGTCGTGTGCACGACGTTGTCTAGCTGCGTGAAATTATCACAGTGTGTTTTTCGTTTTAGTATTTATGATTGATCAGATGTATATAAGTAACTTTTTTCAGATATGTGAATTATTTTGATGTTTGTATCATTGATGAGGCAACACAATGTACAGAGCCATGGACTCTAATGCCTTTAAAATTTGGCATTAATACATTGGTGCTAGTGGGTGATACGCAGCAACTTCCCGCAACGGTGCTATCAAAGGTTTGTTTCTTAACTAGAAGAAAGCGATTTGGAAATTCTTCCTATTTTTTGAGCTCTTCTTTTTCATTATGCAAAAATATTTTCCCAGGAAAATTTCTTGCATTGGTTTTATACTCTTGAAAAGAAATCCCTATACATAATTCATTTATTGATAGAAAGCTTCAGATTTCGGTCTTGGAACTTCACTTTTCACACGTATTCAGCGCTGTATAGAATCGGTCAACCTCAAAAATGCAGCAAATGGATTAACCGATGAAGAAAAAATATTCTTATCAGATAGCAATGATATCATTTTTAGCTTGCAAACACAATACCGCATGCATCCTGAAATTTGTAAATGGCCAAATTCGTACTTTTACAAAAACGAACTAATCGACGATCCCAAAACTCATCAGTTCAAAACACCATTGAAGCCATTTTCAGTACTTAATTTGACATATACGCAAGATGAAAACTGTCATCGCGGTCAAATTGCTAACGAGCTAGAGGCTAAGTTTGTGGCACGGCTGGTTAAAACGTTGGACGGTTATATTCCTATGAAATACAACTCATATGGTGTGATAACGCCCTATGCACAGCAGCGAGGGGCCTTAGAAAAGGCGTTGCGGTGAGTTTTTTGTACTCAAATAGCCATCACATT